CTGTGGTCACCCTGAGCTGTGGCCTGGGGAAGGCCAATACTCTGTCCTCATCTGGCAACAGGAGACCTGTCCCCAGGCAGCCCAGACGGGAGGACCAGCTCAGGCCTGGCCACAGGTGGCCTCTGGACGGGTCTGCGGGTGCCCCAAGGGCTCAGGATGCAGCAGCTCAGGAGGCGGGGTGGGGTGGGTGCTGGTCTCGCCCTCTGCACAGGCCCGGGCTGAGCTGGGCTCACCCACTCTGTCCTCCACACCAGGGACCCTGCTGCTGCCCGCCACGTCCCCTTCCCAGCTGACCCCGTTTCTGCAGGGGGGCTGCAGAGGACCCAGCACCGAGCCATGGTCGCTCTCCCGGGCCGTGTGTTCCACGGCAGCGTCCAGGTCTGCAGGCTGGGAACCTCGCTTTAAAGCAGATCCCATCTGCTCAAACAGGTGTCGGGGGCTGGGCAGAGGAGAGCGGGTCCCACGCAGCCCCACGGTGATCACGAGGAGGGGGAAGAGGGTCCACCAGGGCCCCAGGGTTGCACAGACCCGGCCCTTGATGGACGGCCTGTTAGACTCTCCCAAGTGCAGTCATGCTTCACTCACGAGGGGACACGGGGAGAACCGCATCCCAAGATGATTCTGTCACTTTCTGTCACTCTGCAAACATCACAGAACAAACTTACACAAACCAGCCCCCGCCCTGTCCCTGGGGGTCATAACCTGTGGGCCACCTGGGCCAGGTGTCTTTACCCGGAGCTCAGCTGGGTGCAGTTGGGTTGCCTGCAGCTCACAGAACGAGCACCTGCACCAGGCTTGGTGGCTCACGACTGTGATCCCAGCGCCCCAGGAGGCTGAGACTGGAGGATCACAAGTTTCAAGGCCAGCCTCCGTAGTTTAGTGAGACCCTGTCTCAAAACTTAAAAAATAATAATAAATAAGAAGGAAAGAAAGGAAGAAAAAAGAAATGTGGACATGTTTGAAGGGGAGAGCACTTGCCCGGGGGCCTGAGGCCACTCCCCAGCACCCAGAGGGGGACACAAAGCCACCTGCACCCTTGAGAGGTCCTGCTTAAAGCTTTTTTCAATCCTTCCTGTGCCAGGAAAGGTCAGGACAGGGATGCCAGGCCGTCCCCCGGGCTTGACAGGTTTGCAGATCTCGCAGGAAGCGGGAGCATGAGATTTTGAGCGTTCTGGCAAGTGCCAGGAATTCTCTAGAACAAAGCTTCATAGCGAGGAGGAGCGCACCACAGGGGGCACCTTAAAACCAGGACAGTGGGCCACAGTGGGCGGGAGAGGAGGCCGAGGCCCCGCCCCTCAGTCCCGCCCTCCTCCCTGCTGAGTGGGCAGCTGGCTGGGCACCTTGATCCAGCCACTCCTGCACACCCGAGACCCAAACCTCCAAACAGCCAGAGCAGGAGCCCTCGAGCTGCTGCTGCCTGGTTCCCAAAGTCGCCCCCTGGCCGCAGGTTTCTGACCTCCTTTGCCTGAGGCGTGTGGCCCTGTGAGGACTGTGTCGTCCTTTCTCGTCATCGTGTGGTGTCCTGGAGCGGGTGCCCCGAGGCCCCGCGGCTCTTTGTCCGTCTGCTCACAGAGAGGGCAGGACACCCCGGCCCTGGGCCAGCCTCCTCTCCCAGGACAGGCTCCCGCACCCAGCTGCGTGTCCTCGTTCCCCGTGTCCCCTCGTAGGGACCCTGGGCTGGGGGGCAGGAGAGTCGTCCGGGTGCAGCCTTCACCCCCGGGGGTGGGAGGGGCACAGGCCCTAAGTGGACTCTGTGGTCACAGCCCACAGGCGAGACCCAGGGCCCCGGGAGCCGGGGCTGCGAGGAGGAGGCTGCCCCTGGCTCGAGGCCCTGGTGGGTGGTGGCCGGGACCCCTCCCCAGGGCCGTGACTGTGGCCCCGTCTCCACCCTCCTGCCCGCTCCTGCCCTCTGCTCTGTGTGGTGTGTGTGTCCCTCATCGCTGACCAGCCATGTCCATGTGGCCACCATGAACGCACCATTTCACCAGCCCCGGGCCAGCGTGGCCCGCTCCGTGCCCATGCATGGGGCCGCCGGCTGACGTTCCCCGGCAGCTGGCAGATCATCATCCCACCCTCGCTGCCAAGGGTCCATCTGGTGCCGCCACTCGTCCCCCAGGGCAGGACCACGGGCCGTCCCAGCTGGCACAGCACCCTGATCAAGCCGCTCCTGCATCCTCAGGAGCTGCGCTTCCAGGAAGCCAAAGAGGAGCCCTCGGGCTATCTGCCCCTCCCACGAGGGCACCATTTTTCTTATATCTGACGAAACCGAGGAACATCAGAGCTCCAGATAACGCACCTGGGTTTGAATCTCCACCTGCCACTTCCTGGCTGTGTGCCCTTGGGAAATCAGTCTCCCTCTCTGGGCTTTAGTTTCCTCATCTGGAAAATTGGCATAATGGTGCCATCTTCCTGCAGGCAAGTGCGGTGACATTCGGAAGACTTGGTCAGTAGTTGAGGCTAACATTTCTGTCACCGATGCCTCCTAGTCGTGAAAGTAGAAGCTACACAATCGCACGGGTGTCCCTTAATTCTCCAGTGCTGAACCCTGAGGACCCCGTGCTTTGGAGAGGGCGGCGGAAACTGCAGAAGCGTCTCCCTTTTAAAGTCGGCGGGTTTTTGTTTTACTTTAAGGGTCTCCCTGTGCCGCCCAGGCTGGCCCTCATCTCCAGGGCTCAGGAGACCCCCTGCCTCAGCCTCCCTGCCGCGGCCTCAACACCCACCCACAGCCCCGGGGCTCCCGCATCCCTCGCGCCCTGCCCTGGTCCAGCCTGGTGGTGCCAGAGTGGACTCCAGGCCCGAGGGACGCTGCAGGCCCAGAACCGGCCTCGGGCTGCCCCAGGCTGGCCCTGAGACTGAGCCTGGTTTCGGGGCGGTCCTGGAGGGTGCGGCCGGTGCAGAGGACCCCCAGGGTGGCCTCTGCTGACCTGGGGTTCCAAGGCCGCCGGCGGTGTCACAGATGAGGACCGCCAGGCAGAGGCGGCAGAATTCAAACCCCGGTCCTTCCCCCAAATTCCGCCCCTTTAAGAGGCTCCCGCAGCCCCTGGCAGTGACCTTGACAGCTCTGGGGCGTCCTGCCGCTGGGACAGACTGGGACAGACTGGGACGGACTGGGCCTTCCCCGGGGTGGGGACCGGGGGAGGGGCTTCGGTGGAAGGATGGACCCCAGGGTCAGAGCCGGAGCCCGGGGGGCTGGGGCGCCCAGGTGTGGCCAGTGTGTGTCCTGAGGCCGCTCACGATCTGTCTCTCCCTCCAACGCCACCTCGCCAGGAGCAGCACACGGTAAAGTCTCTCGCTCTGTCTCTCTCGCTCTGTCTCTCTCGCTCTCTGTCTCTCGCTCTCTGGGTCTCTTCCGTGGCCTGTGTCCTTGCTGCTGTCCTGTCTATGGAGGTGACCAGAACCTGCTCCCGAGGGCCACAGCCGCGACCCGCCGGTTCTTGCAGAGACCACAGAGGCCAGGGGTGTCCTCCCGGGGCCAAGCTCAGCAGGGACAGGGAGCCGGGGCAGGGCGGCAGTGAGGGCCACCAGGGTCCCCAGGACCCCGGAGGGAGCAGGCGCTGGCTCTAGGGGGCATGTGCCCTGCCCAGTGGCTGGAGGCTGAGGCAGGAGGATGGCGAGTTCGAGGCCAGCCTCAGCCACTCATACCAGGTGGCCGGCCTGAGCCAGAGACCCGCGCTGTGGCACCTGTGTCCGGTGCTTCCTCCTAAGGGAGCCGGTGGGTGCCAGGGGCCCCTCAGCCCTCGGCGGCTCCTCTCCGTAGTAAGGCCCCAAAGCCACCAAGGAGTGACCGTCTCCCCCCACGACCGGGTGCGGGATTCTGCTCTGCCCCGATTTCCCCCGGTGGCTGCCCCCTCGGCCTCGAGGCTCCCGTGCGGGACGCAGCCCCATGCTCCTGGGGGGGACCTGGATTTAAACCACGGCCCCGAGCTGCAGGCCCAGGCGGCGCCTTGGGTCCCCGAGAAACAAGAGGGGGGAGCCCGAGGGAGCAGATGGCGGGAAGGACCCTCTCGCGCTGCACGCCCTGGCGCCGGGCTGGGGTCTCTGGAGCCCGGAGGTCGGGGTCTGCAGCCCCGGCTCCGACCTGAACCTCACGTCGGGGGCAAGTGAGGGGTGGGGAGAAGAACCCGGTGACACGGAGAATGGCCACGGAGGAGGTCGCAGCCGGGTGGAGGCTGAGATACTCCCCAAATGGCCCCAGAGGCTGCCTGAGCCGGAGGCAGGGAGGCAGGACAGGGAGGCCAGGGAGGGGAGGTGCGCCCAGGGTGCACGGAAAGGTAAGTGGGCACGGGCTTCCAGGAGCCCTGAGGGCCACACCTGGAAGTCACTTGCTCTTCTGAGAATTCAGAGGCCCCAGCAAGCCGCCACCCTCGTTGGCCACTGGGTGCAGAAAAGAGGAGCCGGCGCAGTGGCGCTCAGCTCGGGAGGCTGAGGCAGGAGGATCTCAAGTTCAAAGCAGCCTCAGCCACAGCAAGGTCCTAAGCAACTCAGTGAGACCCTGACTCTAAATAAATACAAAACAGGGCGGGGACGAGGCTCGGTGGCCAAGAGACCCTGGGTCCAATCCTTGGAACCAAAAAAAAAAAAGATGGAAGAGGAGACCCAGGCGGGGGGAGAGGGCGGGCGGGGATGGGGGTGGGTCTGACCTCAGAGGGTGGCCAAGAGGGACGGGGACGTTCAGGCTGTGACCTCCGGGGTGCAGAGGAAGGACAGGTGGTCTGGCTTGGTCACCTGGGTCGGTGCCATCGGCAGCCTGGGCACCCAGCGCCGTCCTCTGGAGTCTGAGGGTGGAGCCGCGGGTGTGGTGTCTCTGGGTGGCATCTCCCTGGCAGAGAGGGCTTGGGCGCGTGGAACCAGGCGCCACCCGGCAGCTGGGAGGGCGGCTGCTGCCCCCGAGGGCCGGGCACGCGGAGGGGGCCTGAGGGCCACTTTAAATGCCCCCCGTCCTGCTGGACGGAGGGGACGCCCGTCTGCTCGGAGCCCCCAAGACGGTGGCTAAGTGACACTCTGGCCACCAGACCCAGGCCAGGCGCTTTCTAGAAGTGGCCATGCAAGCATTTGGGGCTGGGGCAGCGGGCTCCCCGTACCGATCTGGGGGCCACTGGGCTCAGGTCCGGCCAAGGGCAGAGCCTTCAGCAGACCCGGAAAATAGAGCCACAAGACCCACCGCTCGCGGCTCCCTGAACAGGGAGTGGGAAGCCAGCCCCGCGGGGAAGGGGAGGGTGGGAGCGGCCGGAGCTGGGGCCTCCCGCCTCCCAGCCTGACACCCAGCCTCTCTTCCCTTCTCCCCCTCACGTCCGTCCACAGTGGCAATAGCAAAGGGAAGGACATCAACACCATCAAATCTCTCCGAGTCCTCCGGGTGCTACGACCTCTGAAAACCATCAAGCGGTTGCCAAAGCTCAAGGTGAGACTGGGGCCCGTGGGGAGGGGGGCCCGTCAGGTGGCCGTGTACAGTTGAACAAGTCGCGCACTGCTCAAAACCACCACCACTGATGGAAGGAGCCGCTGGTAAAGCTCAGCGCCGCCCTCATCTGCGGGTCTGGGTGTTACTACAGATGGCCTGCAGGTGGCGGTGAAGGGCCAGACCTAAGGCCTCCGCGTGTGATTTCCCACCAGGTGAAATGTGTGGCCTTCAGACACACAAATGTCTAGGCCCCCAGACCCCTGTTCCAAAACAGCCAGACCCCACATTCCCAAAAGCTCCCTGTTCCAAAAAAAGACGGAAAACAAACCCTAGCACTCCCACAAGTGCTGTGCCACCGAGGGCCACCGGGATTCTCTCCATGTGTCAGGCCGGCCGCCGGCTTCCCACCAGCCAGGTTGTCAATCTTACTTAAGAGAATTTACTTTGAAAGGAAGCACGGCCTCACCTCTCAGGTTCCAGAGCCCACTCTCACAGAAGGCAACATGCGGATCTGTCATTAACACGTAGCCAAGGACGGCTGCGCAGCGGCCCTGAGCCTGCTGTGGGCCCGGGTTGGAGAGTGACCAGGGCAGTCGGAGGAGGAGGGGGAGGAGGTTGTGACCCGAGGTTCAGCCTCATCCAAACCAGCCTCTGATGTCCCCTCCGGAGGCAGCACCCTGGGGAATTTGGAATCTGTCGGTGGCGTCCCTTCTTGGCTCGGTGATGACCAGAGGGACTGTAGCCGCCCTTTGGGGTCAGGGCCAGCATGGGAATGCTCCTCCCGGGGCGACTGGGGACCCTGCCTCTGTGTCCCACGAGGCTGTGGCAGCCCCTGGTGCCTTTGAGGTGGAACCGGCATTGCCCCGAGGAGCTGGGGCGAGGCCAGGGAGGCCAGGGAGAGCGCTGGGGCTGAGCTGCTGGGGTGGGCCCTGGCTCCTGGGGAACACAGAAGGAATCCGTCTTACGTCAGGCGCACAAGGTCACCTCAAAATCCACAGAGCCCCTGACTGCCCGGGAGGAAGGAGGGAGGAGGCCAGGAGTCCAGGCACCGGGAGGAACCCAGAATTGACAGGCGGAGGCCTCTCCAGTGAGGATCCTCCCCTGGTCCTGAAGAGCCCCCACGCCAAATTGGAAAGGCCCTGGAAAGGGGCAGCCGGCCCAGGGGTTCAGACACATGGAAACCCAAGACCAAGGCTGGGTGTTGGTGGTGCCCACCTGTGACCCCAGCGACTCAGGAGGCTCAGGCAGGAGGATCCCAAGTTGGAGGCCAGCCTCAGCACCTTAGCAAGACCCTGCCTCAAAAAGAGCTGGGGACGTACCTCCGTGGCAGAGTGCTCCGGGTTCCACCTTCAGTGCCAAAGAGAAGGGGTTGGGGGGGCACCCGAGACTAGACTAGGAGCAGCTCCGACAGTTCCGCCAGCCAGGTGACCGTCCCTGAGTGACTTGGGCCTGACCTCCGCGGTGAGGTAGCAGGTCAGGCCTCCCTCTGTATCTGCAAGGGACTGGTCCAAGAGGCCCCTCAGATACCCAGCTCCCTAAGGGAGCCGGGCGGTCCCGGGGTGGCGCCCCGAGCGCTGTGGCCCCGGTGGCCGGCGCCTCACGCCCCTCCGCCGCAGGCCGTGTTCGACTGCGTGGTGAACTCGCTCAAGAACGTCTTCAACATCCTCATCGTCTACATGCTCTTCATGTTCATCTTCGCCGTGGTGGCCGTGCAGCTCTTCAAGGGCAAGTTCTTCCACTGCACCGACGAGTCCAAGGAGTTCGAGAAGGACTGCCGGTGGGTGTCCCTCCCCAGGCAGCCCCCGAGTGGGCACCGCAGGGACAGGAACAGGCCCTTGGGCCTGAGCCTGGGCATGAACCCAGGGCGGCTCCCTGCGCTCTGGCAGAGGGAGGTTGGTCATCTGGAGACCCTGGGTGGCTGCAGGGTCAGTGGGAGCCGCTCTGCCTCCCGGTGACCTCTTCGCAAGACTCGGGGAGACTCGGGGAGACCCAAGAGGGCTGGGGGGTGGCGCAGGGTCAAGTGCCCGGGCTCGATCCCGGGACCGCACAAGTTTTAATTAAATATGATAAAAAGGGCGGGGTGTGGCCCCCTGTGGAGCAGCCCGGGTTCCAGCCCAGTGCCGACAACGACACCACCAGGTGTGACCTGGGAGCTGGCCTTTCCCCGGGGCAGGGTGGGGACATCTCCAGGCAGCCTGGTCCCCATCTGGACCCACGTACAGCCCCCCAGAAAGCGCAGGAGGAGCCACCGGGGTCGCTGCTTCTGGGCTGCCTGGGCTGGTGTCCCCTTCCTCCTCCTGTCCCTGGGGGCCCAAGCCGAGTCCTTCGCGTCCGACTGGCTCACGGCCCCCCCTCGGCAGCGGCAAGTACCTGCTCTACGAGAAGAACGAGGTGAAGGCCCGGGACCGGGAGTGGAAGAAATACGAGTTCCACTACGACAACGTGCTGTGGGCCCTGCTGACCCTCTTCACCGTGTCCACGGGAGAAGGCTGGCCGCAGTAAGTGACCCTCGGGCAGGGCTCGGGGGGCGGGCTCAGGGGGAGGGGCTGGAGGCAGGGCTGGGGCGGGGATCGGTGGGCGGGGCTCAGGGGGAGGGGCTCGGAGGGCGGGGCTCAGAGGGCGGGGATCGGTGGGCGGGGCTGGGGCGGGATCGGTGGGCGGGGCTCAGGGGAGGGGCTC